TTCCAAACTCATACCAGCAAGCTCTGGTTACACTGCTGTGCAGGAAACGTTCTCTCCCATCGACTCAGGTGGAAAACTATCGGCCAGTCTCTACTGCTGTTTCTGTCTAAGACCAATGCAAGGGCAGTCTTGAAGCAGATCACAGAATACCTCTCACATAACAATCTCCTTGATACAAACCAATCTGGGGTTTAAAAAAGTGCCCCTTCACTGAAACAGCTCTTTTATCTGTGACAGAAGCCTTAAAAAGTCGAGAGCAACAGGGAAGTCCTCAGTACTCATCCTGCTTGACTTATCGGCTGCATTCGACACAGTCAACCATGAAATCCTTCTGTCTATACTCTGGAGCATGGGCATCACAGGAAGAGCACACTGCTGGTTAGAGTCGTACCTCCCTGGTGGATCATTCAAAGTATCCTGGCTTGGTCAAACTTCTGCAGTGCACCATCTCACCACAGGGGTTCCTCAAGGTTCAATACTGGGACCTCTTCTCCTTACCATATAAAGCACCCAGCTGGGCCAGATCATTGGTTTCACACATGGTTTCTCATTCCACTGTTATGCTGACAACACTCAGCTCTAACTGTCATTACCACCTGATGACCACACGGTGTCAGCATGCTTCTCAGACATGTCATAATAGATGGAAGCCCATCGCCTCTAACTGAATCCCTCAAAAACGACTCGACTACTCTTTCTGCACTTTCCTGTCTTTGCCGTCCTCACGGATTATGACGAGGGATTTTCCTCTGGAGAACTTATTGTCATATTGATAACCGTAAAATTAAAATAAAAGCTTCTGCCAAATGCATAAACATATTTTACCATCTTCTTACATTTTTCTTTAATGCAGGTTATTTCTGATAGAGGGCCTTATGTATCCTGAGCATACAAAAACAAGATTTTGATCTGATGTAAAGGAAAGCTCTGTGAAGCTCAAAGCCTTCTCTCTCTGGTTCTTTTCCTGACAAGAAATCACTAGGGACATCCATCCAGCCAGCCATCTTCTTCCACTTTATCCGGGGGCCACTTCTATGAAGTGTGTGGATCAGACTTCCCGATCCACACACACCTCCTCAAGCTGCTCTGGAGGGACCCCAAAGCGACACCAGGCCAGCTCAGAGACATAGTCCCTCCAGTGTGTCCTAAGCCTTCCATGAGGCCTCCTCCCAATGGGATATGCTGGGAACACCTCCCGAGGGAGGCAACCAGGAGGTATCCGCAATAGATGCTCGAGCCACCTTAGCTGGCTCCTTTGGACGTAGAGGAGAAATGACTCTACTCCGAGCTCCTCCAGTGTAACCGAGCTCCTCACTCGAACTCGAATGGTACGCCCAGCCACCCTGCGAAGGAAACTCGTTTCGGCTACTTGTATTGGAGATCTTGTCCTTTTGGTCATTACCCAGATCTCATGACCATAGCTGAGGATGGAAACGTAGATTGATCGGTAAATCCTGATCTTTGTTATATCATATCACTTCTGATGTTGCACCGATCCGTCTTTTGATCTCCAGCTCAATCCATTCCTCACTCGTGAACAAGACCCCAAGATACTTGAACTCATCCACTTGAGACAAGGACTCTACAGACCTGAAGAGGGGAATCCACCTTTTTCCGGTAGAGAACCATGGCCTCGGATTTCGAGGTGTTGATCCTCATCCTGGCCTCTTCACACTAGGCTGCAAACTGCCCCAGTCCATGCTCAAGGTCCTGGTTTGATGGGGCCAACAGGACAAACAGCAGAGATATCCCCAATCCAGTCCCTGGCTGCACCTAGAAATTCTGTCCATAAATGTAATTAATAGATCCGGTGAGAAAGGGCAGCCCTGGCAGAGTCGAACATGCACCGGGAACAGGTCGGGCCTATTGCCGGCAATGCCAACCAAGCTCCTGCTGCGGTCATACAGAGAACGCACAGCTCTTAAAAGAGGGTCCAGGACCCCATACTCCCAAAGCACTCCCCACAGGGCTCCACGAGGGATGCGGTCGAATGCATTCCCCAGATTCACAAAACACATGTGGACTTGGGCAAACTTCCACAAACCCTTGAGCACCCCATGAAGGGTATAGAGCTGGTCCAGTGTGCCGCAACCAGTGTTCCCTCTGGATCTGAGGTTCTACTATGGTGGTGGTCTCTGTCCTCTCTCTCCTTCCTCCACGGAAGGACCCCACCCGCACTATAAACATTGTTGGTGAAGCACGGCTTCCCCCTCCTAAGGTGGTGGACAATTTGCCAAATCACTTTCGAGTCCAACCGATAGTCCCCCTCCATGGCTTCTCCAAACTCCTCCTGGACCTGAGTTTTTGCCTCTCTGACCAAGAGCTGCAGCACACTTGGCCTGCCTTTACCTCTCAGCTGACTCCGGAGTCCCACTAGCTAACAAGGCCAGGTAGGCCTTCTTCTTCAGCTTAATGCCTTCCTTAATTCCAGGCGCCACCAGATCACAGCTATGAAGGGCAAAATGGAGGAGGAAAACATGGTCCGCTCAGACTCCAAGTTTCCAACCTCCCTTGGGATCCGGGAGAAAGTCATCTGGAGGTGGTAGTTAAAGACCGCACTAATAGAGGGATCCACCAGACGTTCCCAACAGACTGTCACAACATGTTTAGGCCTACCAGGTCTGAACATGCTTCCTCTCCTGCCAGCAGCTCCAGCTCACCACCAGCTGGTGATCGATTGACAGCTTGGCCCATCTCTTCACCAGAGTGTTTGAGACACTCTACCGGAGATCACATGATACAACTACAAATGACAACTGAGCTGGGGGGCAATGAGCAAAGCCACCTCGGGGTGCCGCCTCTCCCCGCGGGCAGCGTCAGAGGAGTGGATTGTCCAGCCTTTCTCCACAAGATGGGATCCGGAACCCAAGCCATGCATGGAGGTGAGCCCTACTATATCTAGCCGGTATCTTTCAACCTCCCACACAAGCACAGGCTTCTCCCCCCAGTGAGTTGACGTTCCACGTCCCTACAGCCAGACGTTGCGTGCGTGGACCGAGTTGTCGAGGCACCCGGCCTCAACCACCACCCAGTCCTCTCTGCACCCGACCCCTACGGATCCCTCTGTGGGTCCACAGGAGGGTGGACACAAGTTGTCCATTCGGGCTGGGCCCGGCCGCGCCCCGTGGGAAAGGGTCTGGCCACCAGGCACCTGCAAGCGAGCCCCAACCCCAGGCCTGGATCCAGGGTGGGGCCCAGAGAGGTTCGTTAGAGTTACAGAAGGCAGCTGCTTACCGCGCTCACATCTCGTGAAGTCGCCCCGAATAGTAGTTAGAGAAGCATTTCAGAAAACTACAGTCTGCCACATCATCACATTATCAAATCATACACATTTGTAAATGAGGAGACATCCATGGCTCCATCCTTTTCAAAACTTTGTTTGTAAATATATGAACTGCTTTTTGTTTAGGCAATCTAATGTAATCTGAACTGAAACGCATAATGTTACTTTTCCAAGTGTTCAAAAAAAAAAAAAAAAAAATCTCCAAAGTGTCCATGAAGCATGTGAGAGCTCCCTGTGGGGTCAGCGGGAAATTTCTCAGTGTATTCTCATTATCAGTTCGTATGAAATCGTACGAAAAGTTATGCACAGTATTTCGTACGTTTTTGACGTTTTTTCGTCGTATTTCGTCGTATTTTAACGTCTTGCCTCGAGACGCACCATTCGATAACATACAATTTAACATACAATTAACCCTAATCCTAACATACAAAACAGCAAGCAAACTAGTGAGAGACATCATGAAGTAATTATTGCACTGTCCGTCCCAGCTTTAAGTCCGTCCGCCGATCTGCTTTTTTCGTCTGTCTGGCTGCGCATGTGCACTGATATGCTTTTTCGAGGAAAAACATCAAAAACGTACGAAATACTGTGCATAACTTTTCGTATGATTTCATACGAACTGATAATGAGAATATGTTGGAATTTCTTGGCCTGAGCAGATGGCTGCTCACACTAAGCCTGGTTCTGCTGGAGGTTTCTTACTGTTCAAAGGGAGTTTTTCCTCTCCACTGTCGCTACAAGCATGCTTAGTGTGAGGGATTGCTGAAGAGTCAATGAGTCGATGCAATCAGCTGGTTTTCCTTAGATAGAAAACTTTGAATCAATCTGACTGGATGATCTGGTGAACTGGAAAGTGACCTGAGATGACATGATGTGAATTGGAGCTATAGAAATAAACTGAATAGAATTGATTTAGCAGCTTGTCTACATTCAAAGCCTCACCTATGGTTATGAGATATCAATAAGGAGCGAAAGAACCAGATCCCTGCTGGAATAAGCTTCTTCCATGAGGATAGACGTCTAATGGAGACATTCCAAAACATTTTTAAATTAATCCACTGGACACCAACTTTGAAGACGTTACTCTTCCCATCCAGGAAGCCTTTTCAATTCAAATGTTAGGAACAGCGTTCGTTGAGTTCCTTGAACCATTTTTGTTTTGTTTTTTGGAATGATTATGACCTGGATGACTGCAAACCTTCACCACCAGCATCTAATGAAGACACTTCCTAACTCAGGCTCTGTGGGATTATATCATTTGCTGTTAATTGACCTGCTTCTCTGGGTGAGACACTAACATTAAAAAGTATCCAAATGTAATTTATCAAAAGATAAAATTTCTACATTCAGGCAGAGTTCAGGTCAAACTCCTGAGTTTGTCAGGTAGGAATTATTTCTATCCGGTTTGTAGATTAGTGACTAAAAGGAGCCTGTTTGTTCCTATCCATCCTCTGAATGTAGGCCTGCTGTTAAACTAAAACTCGGGTTTGAGTGGCTGGTTGTAAATGATTCGGTTCGTGGCACCGTGGACTTTCCACTGGCTGTGGGACAGCTGAACCCAGAGCAGAAGACATTTGATAGCTCCATGTTCCGGCCTCTTGGCACCCCCTTCCTGATGTCTTCTAGAGGCGCATCCTGGGGGTGGGTCACTGACTGGACGGGCGCAATGTGACGGGGAGGCAACCTCAGCTGCGGGGGAGGGAGGGAGGGAGGGATGGTTTAACTATTAGCACCATCAGGCGTTAGGACAGCTGTACGGAGCCGGTGCAGTGGGCTACATAAGCGGTGCGCAAAGCAGCGGAGTTTCTGCGCACTCAGATCTCCGCTCCTTCATCTGCAGACCTCAGATAGTTTAAGGTAAGCTCTCATTTCATTCAACGGAACAAAGTAGAGAAAGTTTGACTGAGTGAACACGGTGTGCCATTTGGCAACTAAGGATCAAACAATCTCCATCGGATTAGAAATAGGAATTGCTGCGTTTCAGAAGAACATGGAAAGAGCTGGAAGCTCCTGGGGGAGCGGCGGTGCCACCGATCCGGGCATCGCAACAGGAAGGCTGGTAGAAGCGAGCAGAGAGAACAGAGCAGGAGGTGCTCTGCTATTCAGCCCTGGGCAGGAGAGCACTAATTTACGCCTTTGCCATGTTGGGTTCGGGCAGCGTTGGTCCTGACTACTAAGCAGAGGATTGTTTCAGCGCGCAAAGCCAACAGGCTGTGCGCGGATGTCGCAACATGCAGTCGGAGGAACGCTGTGAAAAGTCAGAGAGCAATGAGGCTCTACATTCCTAAACATCTCATCTGCTGATTGATGAAATGACAAAAGGCCCAGAGACATTATCAATCTATACTGGTGGAGAAAAGTTACATATTCTCTATATGACTTTAAAGAAACAACTTGGTTACATTATAAAAAATGTTCAAAAATAACCTGCAGCTTTATAGTGACAGCTGGATAAACTTTGTCAGCCAAGTTTAAGCTCACAGACAGGATTTGCTGAGGCTTCCTGGTTGGTGATGATGTTTTGTTGAGTGCAGACTGACTGGATCACCTGCTTGGAAGAAGCTTTAGCTTCACCTACAGCTGCTCTCTAAAGCAGGCCCTCTTCCTGGGTTCATTGAAGCTTCACATGGGAATTAAAACATAGTTCACAAAATATCTTGATCTGACAAACAAAGTTTTGGTTGCAAATTTTAGAGTTGAGTCTTAGTTAAGAGAAATTCTTATGTAAATCATTGTATCAGTGCTGCATACAACTAGTGCTAGATTACTTAAAACAATGCTGTGTTACATTTTACCCAGTATTAGTGTAATTTGACATGTTTTAGATTGTTTATCAGGTCTATATTCTTCTTATCAATGCTGTTTTTCAAAAACTCACCTATCTAGCACGATGGGGTCAGATCCATGACTCATTCTATTCTATTTAGTGTATTTCTATAGCTCCAATTCACCTCGTATCATCTCAGGTCACTTTCCAGTTCACCAGATCATCCAGTCAGATTGATTCAAAGTTTTCTATCTAAGGAAAACCAGCTGATTGCATCGACTCATTGACTCTTCAGCAATCCCTCACACTAAGCATGCTTGTAGCGACAGTGGAGAGGAAAAACTCCCTTTGAACAGGAAGAAACCTCCAGCAGAACCAGGCTCAGTGTGAGCGGCCATCTGCTGAGGCCGACTGGGGCTCAAGGAGGCAGAAGCAGACATAGAAAAAGAAGCATAGATAAAAAAGGCAACTGTCAACCAGCTCCACAGGCGGCCCCGTCCAGGAAACACACAGCCAGGCAGAAGAGCTCCGAACCAGCTCCCATGTCAGAGGATGAAGAGAGCACATCCAGTTAGTCACAGTCAGAGAAACAGGACTACACTGGAAAACAGGCCAAGCTCCAACATCTATAAACAAAGGAGTTGATGGCAGCAGCACAGCTGATATTTCTCTCCAGGATGGAGTCACAGCCAAACAGGAACAGACCAGATGAAGCTACTATGAGAAAAAGCAGAGAGAGCAGAACGTTAGAGATTGAACTAACAGATTCTGCAGAGTGGGAGAATAGAGATAGAATGAAGCAGAATGATGAAAAAGGGGTCCCTATGTCCTCCAGCAGTCGAAGCCTATAGCAGCATAACTGTAGAGATATTTCAGGATAACCTGAGCCACTCTAACTAGAAGCTTTATCAAAATCAAAATCAGACATACTTTAATAAACCCAGAGGGAAATTACTTTTGTTATACGCTCCAGATACAAACATTTTTAAATATATATACAGAACAAACCACACAAGACAATATAAATATATACACATATAACACAAAACAGATACAACACTTACCTGATCAGAAAGTTTCTTCAAAGTAGGATTTAATCTAGAGATTTGAATTAAGAACATTTCTTTATAACTGACTCTATAGCTGTGTCTGACTGTCCACCCTAACCCCTGCATGCCTCCATCGGTATATGCAGCGGGGACTATATAGTGGACTTAATAACAGATGATCGCTATGTTTTACTTCCCGTTGGTCACATGACTCTGGCTCTTTCTGTGCGCCATCTTTGTTTTCTCTTGCCCCAATGACAAATCCCATCATGCTTTGCGAGGAGAGCTCTTACAAAGCATCTGGAATATATCTGCTCATCTAGTGACCATGGATGATCACTACTTGTCATGGTGCATTGTGGGAAAATTTGAGTCCACTACTTTTTTTTTACTTTAGACTAAAACAGGGTAACCCCTATATAGTGCTCTCTGTAGGGGATAGGGCCAATGCTTGGACACAGTTCTAGAAGTTAAAGATCTAGTGCTCCTAGTTGCAAAAAATGACCCAGTGTTGCTATAAAATAGTGAAAACATAAAGTTATTTTATAGATAATAAAGAAAACACGTAAGCCAAGTTGTTGAATGCAACCTGCTGACTTTGACATCATTGATGTGTTGGACCAAGGACAGATCTTAATGCTGGTGAAGGTTCTCAGTCATTCGGGTCATAGTCATTCCTAAAAACCTAAAAGTGGTTTGTTTTTTAACTTTTCCAACTCTTTTGAATAACATCTAAATTCACCAAAAAAACAACAAAAAAAACAGAGGGGACGGACTCAGATTTCAGCTTTCAAAACCTACAATGCAGCGATTGAGTTATTTTGTTTTATTTTATTTATTTTCAACAGTTCCCTTTAACGCCCCCCCCTTTCAGAGACATAGACAGGTATGGGGCATTGCAGGCTAACAAAGAAGTCAAACCACCCCCATTCCAAAGGAGGGGACCCGTTCATCCGTTTCTATTTGCATGTTTTCTAAACTAAAACCAGGCTTTGTTGGGCTGCTGGATAAAACCAGGAACTCAACACTATTTCTGACATTTGGAATTAAAAATTCCTTCTGGGTGGAAGAAAAACGTTTTCAAATTTGGAAAAAAAGTCCAGCGGATTGTTTTTTTAAAAACTTTTCTGGAATGACTATGACCTGGATGACTGAGAATCTTCACCAGCGACACATTTAAAGGTTGCAGAATACTGAGCAATCAGGATCAGGATCTACCCATCCCTGTCCGCTCTCTAAATCATTTAAAACAAACCAACCAAAGCCTTTTGACCTTATGCAAACTGACCAGCCTTTGTTGATCTTTATTAAAAGAGCTACTCAAGCAGTTTTTGTTTGTATATAATGTGCAGATCTCAGAAGCTCTTTGATTTGCTGCTGTCAGTCACTCAGAAAGGCTTTTTAAATGTCTTAAAATGTTCAACAGGAACTCTGGACTTTCACTGCCAAGTTGACAGTCTGGTCAAAGCTGCCTCTTCCACCATCAGCTATTTATTTTTAGCAACCTTTTGCTAATTTGGTACTGGATGAAACTGGTTTCCTTGACATAGTCTCAACTCAACAATCCATAATGTTAGAGATTAACATCTGAACAACCTGAACTTCCATGACACAGACGATTCTTTCTTTAAAGCAGTTAGTTGAACTTGGTGTAACTTTTGTTCTTTTGTTTCTATTCTATAATATTTCTGTTTTAATTCTTTATGCACGGCAGCGTCATTGGTATAAGGCCCTGGTTGGGTGACTCATGATGTTTGAAGAAAAAAAGAACTAACAATGGGCGGTGTTTTTTGTGAAGACTGAATAATTGATCAATGTTTTTTGTGTGTTTTTCTTCAGGTGACTGGGAACTGTGGTTAGGGAGGTGCTTTTCCACAGTAGGTAATTCTATCCTCCAACAGAAGACCTTTAAATATCTTGTCTGAAAAGCTTCCAGCTACCACGTGGCATAAGGGGAGACATTTGCTCTGTGCAGGATTCCACTATCAGTTGACCGACCAGTCGCTGCACAACTCTGGCTTCTTCCGTGTTTCTTCAGCTTGTGCTGAATTTTAAAGGCTGTTTACAATTGCGTGGCGGGGGGGCTATGCAGTGATTCCCCGAGTCTTCTGTTTTATTTTCTCCTTTGTTTTGATGCGTGATGCCTTTTCTTTTGCCGGCTAACCCCTAGCACCTTGCAGTGAATGGAGAACATACTGGTTCTACTTCCAAAGCACCGACAGGAACACGGCTCTGCAGAAGCACGGCTGCATGTGCCTTGTGGGAAGATTCCACCTACAGAGCGATTTTTTCTTCTTCCTCATTAGTTCCAACCCACACCCCATGTTAGCCTGTTTAATGGGATAAGTTAACCAGAGAGATCAGGTGTAAAACCAGGTCGAGCAGAGCGTTCCGTTCTGACCTTCCCCAAACCGTTAGTCTAAAACAACTTTTCCTTTTTCTTGTTGAGTACACCGTCTGTAAAAGGCCTCCGCATGGTACGTTGGTCAAAAGAACAAGACAAACTCCCGGACATTGAGATGTCCTCAGGGGACATTGAGATGAAGAAGGAGGGAGGTCCTCTGACCCCAGCCTTCCTCAATTCTAACTGCTCCATCCATCCACTGATCCTCACCAGAGGCCCAGAAGAAGTAAACCAACAAACTGGGGGGGAGTTCGAGCTCACCGAGGTCACATCTTTCACAGAGAGGATTGGCGAGACAGGGGACGACGAAGAAAGGTCGGATATCGTGGTGGCGTTAGACTGTCGGGCCAATGCCAAAGGACAACGCGAGGAGGACGCACTTCTGGAGAATGCAAGCCAGAGCAACGAAAGCGATGACAACAGCATCAATCAGAGCCCGGAGCCACCAGCGCCGCTTAAGGAGACCTCCATTTCCATCGGCCTGCAGGTGGTTTTTCCCTTTCTGCTGGCTGGCTTCGGAACAGTGGCGGCTGGAATGGTGCTGGACATTGTCCAAGTAAGTTACACTAAAACATTAAAACAAAACATTTAGTATAATTAAGAATAATTAGAAAATGTTATTGAAAGATTGATCTCGATCCAGTGTTTTCCATGTGCATGAGAGGTTTTTCCTTGATACTCTGGATTACATTAATCCAAATCACATGACTGCAGATGACCTCTTTAGACGACTCTTTAAATATGCTAATGGTTATAAGTAGTGTGCGTCCGTGTTGTTCTGTGATTTAATAGTGTGCAGTACAGCAAATATAACACAAAAGTACTTGAACAAAAATAATTTAATTTGGTTGCTTAACAGATATATTAATAATGTATGTGTGAGTATACCATAACACTGATTATAGATATAAAACAGCTTCAGTGTGTTTTTATACACTATGTTTTAGGCAGACCTAATGAAGAGAGATTACCACCTGAATATATTTATCACCAGGCTTACCAAGGGCGTCTCACATTGTCATGCATCTGTTTAGACCTTATGGTTTATCTAATGTCAGCATTTGGAGACACATGGGTATTTGGTCTTAACCTGACTCCGGCAGATGCATTTGCTCCGCATATCCATCTGGAAACCTTCCGTTGAAGTAATTTTGGGAAGGGGCGAAAATACTGGTTAGCTGATTGGCCTATGTTGGTGATAGACGGGCCAAATAAACCAATCAGATCAACGAAGCATATGACGTAACAGAGCGACGACGAAGAGGAGCCAATTGATAGATTTCCTCTGAGAAAAGCCTCCAGAGCAGTGTTTTGCTCTTCTTTCAGTGAAGATATACTCTGTAATTCTGATAAAACTTGCTCGATAGCCACGCTAACGCTAGTTTCATCCGCTGAAGCCGCCATGTTCTTAAGACTGAACTGTCGCGCTTCTCGTTGCGTCACACCTCAACCCGCCTCAAAGCCAACGCTGATTGGACGTTCGTTTGGTGAACGGCTCCAAATTTTCTTCAATGGAGAGTCTCCAGACTGATTAGCGAGTGAAACCTTGAAAGCTCGCGAGATCAGGATGTCCTCTTGAGGCTAATTTTGTCTAGTGGTTAGAGAAGTGCACTTGTGTTCTGAGAAGGGTGCAAGGGCCCAGTTTGATCCCCACAGCCTCCACTCTGGGTCCCTGTGCAAGATTCTTAAACCCACATTGCTCCCCGGGCGCCGCACAATGGCAGCCCGTTGCTCCCCCATGCAGAAAGTTCATTTCTTTTCTTTCTTTCTTTATTATTTGTGTAACCTTTTCTCCTTAAAGGCATAAATTCTTCTCCCCAGGACGTCTCTATGCTGTTAGGCATTGGGTCTTTAATGATTCATCACAGAATCTTAGGTGTGGAGTTGGACATACTTGCTGTATTTGGTTGGAGTTGTTATAGATCCACTCAACTTCTCTTATTTCTTATTCCTTGTTTCTTTTATCTATGCGGGTCAAAGTCATTGGAACAGGTTATCTTTTTTGTCTTAAAGGTTAGATTGTAGTGCAGAAAAAGCTGGAGGTGTCAGCCTGCTGGGAGACCAGTACATTGTGTACACGCATACTGATGGCAACATAGTGGACCCTTAGAGACCCAGCACTAAAGAGGGGGGGGGGGGGGGGGGGGGGGCAGGGCAATAAAGTTTTCTCTCTTTGAGCACCTGAAATGGCACAAAAGTTCAGCTAACCTAGAATGTGGGGGAAAACTAAACCGAATGCATCCATCAGAGCCTCCATTATCGTGTGGTGAGGTATACTCACTTAACCAGGAATGCAGAGATTCAAGTTCAAAGTTTTCATGCTGCTCCAGCATAGGCACCATGCTGTTGGAATTTGTGAGAGAACTCACAAAGAATGTTGTGTCGTTTTTGACTACTTTGTCACACTTTTTCCTGCGTGCAACCCTTTAACTAGTGCTTGTTTTGAGCTTTCAGGTGAGGCTTGTCTGAAACAACTGCAGAAGTAAGTTTGCCTGAGCATCTAGCTGATCGCTTCAATGCCTAAATCCTTATCCAAGACTCTAAGAAATGCTAACTCAGCTAATCCTGCCTGTCCTCAGTAGAGGGTAACTGTCTCTGCCTCAGTCTCTCAATAGTTTGTGAGACAGAATCTGTTGATCTAAAGAATTGAAGCAAACTTAAAACAAAACACAACAGAAAACGCAGGTTCCTTCACCTGGGGGTCGCGGATTCCCTGTTGAAGACCTCCGGCCTAAGGGATGCATTTCTGTTGAAGTTACTGGTGTAGATTAATGGAGATGTTCAAAAGCTAAAGCTGAAAAAAAGATATAAATTTAATCCATACTGGTCTAGTTTTCTGTTTGAGTTCTGGATTAGGATTTGTGAACAAGACATCTACAGTAAAGACAATAATCTAAGAACTGGAGGCCAGGAAACAGGAAATTCTACTGGTGACACTTTGCTTAACACTGGTCAACCCTGTCTTGTGCCTGACTTTGGTCCACATCCACTTAGCTGGTATGTACTTAGGGGATAACAGGAAAATAGAAACATGGTCTTAATTGTTTCATAGAAAATCATCTTAGCAAGTTTGTGCTTAGAGCATTCTTAGAGGCTAAAAGAAGGCATGTTATATTGGATGCACAGTTTGGCCATTTTTATCCATCTCCATGGTGCTATTGCCTAGCAATCATTAACATCCCTTCAGCTCTTTACTATTAGATCCTAAGAATCCCTAAGGCTGTCTCTTGTTTAGGATGTGATTCAATGAGAGTGGAAGGATTAGCCCGTGGTTGTGTTGTCCCTACCTCTGGCTAATCTTTTATTCTGAATGCATGGAAACTCCCATGTTGCAGCTTCCATGTTGTTTCTACCAATTAACAACAAACATCATCTCTTGGTACTTTACAGAGACAATTTAACCAGATCATCCAGCCAGATTTGTTCAATGTTTTCTATCTAAGGAAAAGCAGCTCATTGCATCGACTCATTGACTTTGCAGGAATTGATAAAACCGCACATTTGTGCATCTGAAGTGGAGAGAAAAGCTCCTTTTAACAGTGAAAAACTTTTATACAAAAGGAACATAGAACATCTAAGCAATGATCCATAATGTCAGAAGAGATAACGGTAAGCTAGCTCCATAGGTGCCTCTTTCTGTTAAAGAAACGGTTAAGCAGACGAGCTCTGAACCAGTTTTCACGTCATACGGATGGAAGCACATCCAGTTACACACAGCTATGACTAGGAGAGAAACATAACTAAGCACTAAAAAACAGACCAAACCCTGTCATCTATAATAAAAGGTGTTGCTGCTAGAAGCCCAGCTGTTTTTTTTTTCCTCCAGTATGTTCACAGCCAAACATGATCAGACCAGCTGAAGCTACTATGATGAGAAAAATGGATGAAGTACTGCAGAAGAGGAGAATAGATATAGAATGAAGCTGAATAATGTAAATAGGTCTCTATGTCCTCCAGCAGTCTAAGCCTATAGCAGCACAACTATATAGATAGCTCAGGATAACCTGAGCCACTGTAAAGCTTGGTTTATACATGTCCCCATGGTCGGTGCAGCCAAATTGCTTAACTTTGGGTTCCACTCCCCTCTGCATGGTGTTCATGCATCGCAGACCAAGGAAAACTTGTAAATACCTGGACAGTGTGGAAAACATGTCGAGCAAAAAGCAGCTCCGGCTGGCAAGGGTTTGCAAAAATAAAAAACTTCTAATTCAACCATTTAGCTCATCAATATCCCAACTATGAACAACTTGTGGAAAAACTCCTGGAAGGAAAGGACTGTCGCAGCTGGACGACACAAAGAGAATTTGCAAAAGCTGTAAACTGCTTCGTTTTCTACCTCCTCCCTGTAATTTGCACAGAGGACTAACCAAGTTTAAATGCTCATTTACCACATGAAGGTTATATGTGTCAGGTATAATGAGGCCGTAAGTTGCATAAAAATGGAAACTTTTAACCAAACAGTAGTAGTCCTTAAAGTATTCATAATGTAGTGTTTAAAGTGAAAATGTTTAATCGTGTTACACATTTAAGCGTATTTCGTTTGAATTCAGAGAGTTTGCATTAATCCAATAATATTTCCTTTTCCACTTTTAAAGTATGAACGGCTTTCTTTTGGTCAGAGAAACCAAACCAAATTAAATGAATTAAAAATCCAGGGGTTGTTAATGATGACATATCAAGAAGGTTGTGTGTTACAATATGTCTATTTTTCCATATACAGTAGTTGCTTGGCCGGGAACATTTCTTTGATACTATCATGCAAGAAACAGGAAAATGACACAGACACCATGAGATTTAGTTTCTGTGACGCTGATGGAGATGCTGTGACTCTGTCACATTGCGGACTACCGCGGCTAGCTTCTCTTTCAGTACAGCAAGTGCAAGGATCACAAGTAAAGTGGGGCCATTACTCAACTGGGTAATCAGACCCTTCTGGGGGTTGCATACCAGAGCTCCTATAAGTCTGTACACTGAGGTACTTGGGCTGTCCTGTAGAGTTCCTAGAACTGAGGAGGTGACCATAAGGAGGGGGGGGCTTTTATGGCTGTTAGCCAATACTCCAGGGAAGACTGAGACATACATCACAACAGGGCAGTCAAAGAGGGAGATAGCAGAGTTAGACAGGAGTAGATTAAGAGAGAGCTGGAAAACATGCGACTCTGAAAGAGAAGAGAAATAAAGTTGCTCACAAGGGTGCTGGGTTTGCAGGGGGCAGTGAGCCAAGGCGAGGGGCTGACTGTTGGAGCTCTGTTTGGCCTGACTGCAGCTTAGGAGACAGACAGAAAGGGTTTAAACTGCTCTGCAGACCTAATGCCACACCTACAACACGTGGGGACACATGGACGACACCACATTCTGTATCAGTGCATCTGGTGGGAGCATCCCAGGGAGCGCCTGCAAGCTTTCATTTCACAGCGAATTGAGGAGCAACAATATTTCAGCCTATTTGCTTCCCTATGTCTGATTTTCCTTCCCTTTTCTATTCTCTGTAAGCCTTGCAGAATATTGATTGAGCTTAGTGCAAACTTAAGTGCTGGCGGTCTGTGGGACTGGCTT